GCAGATCAGATTATACATTTTTTGGCTGAGTTGTAAATAACATAATCCCTTTACAGCATCAGGACACACATGTAGTAGAAGTACAGCATGATAACCATTTTAAGAATTGAATGAAAATTCAACAGGTATAACCTGAAACAGTTAGGATAGCTTATACTTCAAATAAACATTGCAAGATTTGTATTTAATTAATAGAGAGAGATTAACATATTCTATTTTTGTGTTCCTTTATGATTGAGTCTAGTATTTTCCTAATGCCTGATGTATTTACCGTGTTTTTAAATAAAGATGATGATGATGATGATGATGATGATTTTCCTTTAATTGTAGTCCTAATATAAAAGACTGATGTTTCTCAACATGTATATGTTCATGTATATGAACACGATATGGAGCTGCTAACTTTACGTTGAAGGTGTATTTCTGTATTCCACTGTAAAGCTGTAGGTTCTGAATTAAGTTTTGACAGGTGTAGTGAGTTGAGGTGGATTTCACTTGTCGACATTCTTAATTTTAAGAAACCTACATGGACAAAGTTCCAAAGTGTTTCCAACTCCGTAATTATACTGTAAATCCTCGAATTAGCACAACCACCGCCCCCACTTCATTAAGTGCCCCCCTCAGTCAAATAAGCGCCCCCTCGTCTTTTCCTAAATATGAAATAAGCGCCCCGGGCGCTAATTCAAGGATTTACGGCGTGCAGTTTGAAGAGCCATTTTATGTACTTGTAACCAATGTCTTTTGCAAAGAATGAGTTTCGACAGCTCAAGTGGCAGCTAACACAAGTGTTAAAAGCATCTTATTCCCTTCCTAAGTAGGAGTGTTCCACATTTATCTGTAATTCTCAGATTAATTCCATGAAGTCTTAAGGGTGACTTGTGTTGTTAAAACCGGTTTCTATGAAGTCTTTAGCTATTATTTTTGGCAGCTGATAAACACATATAGCATTAGTAATGGTGTTGTTACTATTAACATCTGCTTACTGTCGCTTGCATATTATAGTATACTGTAGTTGTTACCACAGTGTTCCTCTGGGTTATTTGCATATGCACAATAGTAGAACTTGCTTCACCTGCAATACACAATAAAGATAATAGTGACATATTTTAAAAGGGTATAAAAATGAATGCAGAAACATTACAGATGTAGATCTTTAATTTGCTGCCCTTTCCCTTGCCTCCGTACCCAACCCCAATAAAAATAGGGTACTTACCTAAATGTGGTGTCCAAGTGATATTTCTTGCTTTTCTGGAAAGGGTTTAAGAAAGAAAATGCTAGTTATGAATGGCATGCTTTCCTTCAAGAAACATTGGAGCTAAAATAATTCCTTTAACCTGAAAAATTTATTCTTATACATAGCATCTCCAAATTCTGGTAGAGTTACATGTAATAATATATTTTGAAACTCTATGAGGACTAGGAGTTTAGGAACATAAAAAGCACACTCAGGAAATTCAAACCATTCTTTGTGTCTGCCAATAAATGTTCTGACTGTTTTCTATATGTGATTCAAATAGTTGCTTGATACCTTTAGATACTTATTTGGTATGTCAAGTTTCACCTTCAGCTAAATTAATTATAATGATCTCGTATGATATACATAGTGAAACATATTCAAACAGCTTTCACGGAAATTTATATAAATGGGCTGATGATCACCCACTGATTGTGCACATAATTTGGGGTACATGATCTATCTGTGTATGGTAGTCAGTAATATACTGGTTAATCAACTGAGTGTATCCTTTGTCTGTTATAAGATATTTCATTAGAGCGTTTTGTTCTGTATTTGCCTACATTAGATCAATATTGAAATCCCCAAGCAGTACAGTTGGAATTGTAGGTTCTATTAATACTGAGTTGTGTAGATGAGTAAGAGCATGAATTAACTGTGAAATTGTAACTTAAGTTTTCGAACGATAGATACCAATGACATGAATATTTGGAATTGGTTGGGTTAAAACCATAACGGTAATTTCTAAATTATTAAAGTTACATCCGTATGGAATTTAATACAATTCAAAACATTAAAAGGTACACAGCAGTTCCATAGAAAGTTCTTATGTTAGACTGGCTAAAGTCTGTAAAGCGTAAATTCCTGAAGCTGATATGCATCATCTCTATCTGACAAGCAAAGTTTTGATTCAACAAAAATGTTGACATCAGTTTTTTGAGTGTTGTACTCACTTCGCACATCATGTATGTGGAGGTGGAGCCAGAGGTGGAGAGATCCAACATTCTGAAACAAGATTGTTTTTGTTTGGGATGAATTGTCGGTCTGTAACACTCTGCCAAAGGAACAAGGCTTGCTTGTGTTCTTAGTCTGCTCATTTCACTTTCAACTTTCTTACTAACCTTTATTTTGAACTCGACGTAAGCTTCTTCAAAGCTATACGAGGCTGGATATATACACGAGGGACTTGTTATCAGCATTTCCAGTACAAACTACAACCATACTACTGATCGATAATATAAATCGCCAACAGACAGAAATCAACTCTGTAAAGGCAACATCTAACAATGACACAAAATGGCGAACGTCAGCTCTTTTGTGTTTAGAAGTGCTTTTTCAGATAACTACTTTCGGAATCGAGCAGTTTCTGAACGAAAGAATCTAATATTACTAGTACGCAAAAGTGCTCTCATAGACATAGTTTTTAAAGAAAAAAACGATACAACAAGAAGACTTACCTTAGCTTCCATACAACACGGCATTCATTTCATTCCTCCTCCGAGTGATATTAAAACATTTTTAAACGATTCCGTCGATTCGTCCTCGGACCACGGTCGATAGACATTGTAGCTTTCAAGATTTCCATGCAAGGATCGTCGATTTGTCGTAGCAAGTGTTCCTTAGCGTAAAAAGTTTCCATTTTTCAACCCACGAAGGAATCCCTGTTTACAGATCGAACAAAAACCCATCTCCGACCTCCGTGCCGTGTTCCGCCATGTTGTTAAACAAAAATTTACGCCTTTCTAGTACCCCCATAAAACCAATC